CTCAGAGTAGTGGAATCATTTTATGAATACATTTGCTTTTTCTATTTAAAAATATGCTTTGAAGATCATTCATATAAGCATAAGTAGATATCCTAAAACCATAAAAAAAGTTCCAACAGAATTCCATTTTATGATGAACTATTTAACTATTCCACTACTCTGAGAACCATTAAAGTATTTTCCAATTTTTCATTACTGACCAACATAACAGTGAATAGCCCTCTGCCTAGAGCACACCATATTTGTGATTTCCTCTGGAAACTATATTTGGGAGGCCGGCAGATGGCGTGGTGAAGCTGCTAGATTCCCACTTGGTCAACCATGGTTCAAGTCCTGGACCTGGCAGATTGATTTCTCATGTTCCCTCTTTCTCTCTGTCTCTGTCTCTCTGGTCAGTATGGGTCCTATAAGCAAATTTAAAAATAATAAGGAATAAAAATTTTAAAATATATGTATGGGAACAAAAGCCCTTAAAAAAAAAAAAAAAAAACAAGGGAACCAGCAGTTAGCGTAATGGCTATGTCGCTGGACTCCCACGTAGTTGACTACAGTTCACGTCCCGGACCCGGTGGCTTCAAACTCACGCCAGGCGCATGTGCGTGCGTGCCCAAGATCCCGAGAGGAGAATGGAGGAGAAGGGATTGCAGCGTGACCATCCCCCCCCGGGGAGGGATTTCTTGCTTTCTGTCTCTCTGTCTCTCTCTGTGTCTCTGGCAAGTGCACGCATCCTGTAGCGGAAAACCTCTCCAAAAAAAAAAAAAAAAAAAGGGAACCAGCAGTTAGGGAAATGGCTATGTCGCGGGACTCCCACGTAGTTGACTACAGTTCACGTCCCGGACCCGGTGGCTTCAAACTCACGCCAGGCGCATGTGCGTGCGTGCCCAAGATCCCGAGAGGAGAATGGAGGAGAAGGGATTGCAGCGTGACCATCCCCCCCCGGGGAGGGATTTCTTGCTTTCTGTCTCTCTGTCTCTCTCTGTGTCTCTGGCAAGTGCACGCATCCTGTAGCGGAAAACCTCTCCAAAAATTAAAAAAAAAAAATCATAGTGCTAGCTGGTGGTAGTTAAGGCAGCTGGATCTCACGTGGCTGTGTGGTATGAGTCTTAGATCCAGTGGCTTGAAATGCTGGGCACATGTGTGTGTGCCCAAAATCCTGAGAGAGAATAGAGAAGGGATTGTGGTGTGGCCCCCTTGAGCAGGGGGGTGATTTCTCACATTCTTTCTCTCTCTCTAGTGAGCACACGCTCCCTATAGCAAACTAAAAAATAAAAAATTACTGGCCAATAATTCCTTTGCCCCCATTATTTTTAATTCTGATTCAACAAGTTGGAGTAACGGCTATGTTGCTGGACTGCCATGTAGGCAACCACAGTTCAAGTCCCGGATCCAGTGGCTTAAACTCACGCTGGGCACGTGTGCATGTGTGCCCAAGATCCCGAGAGGAGAATAGAGGAGAAGGGATTGCAGCGTGACCAACCCCCCTGGGGAGTGATTTCTTGCTTTCTGTCTCTCTGTTTCTCTGTGTCTTTCTGGAGAGTGCACAAGCCCTATAGCAAAAACTTTAAAAAAAAAAAAAAAACATTGATTCTATGTTTTAAAGAATTAATTATCATTATTATTTTCAAGTTGCTATAGGGCACATGTGCTCACCAGAGAGAGATAGAGATACAGAGAAAAAGCAAGCCACCATGTTTAGGACTCAAACTATGTTTGGTCAAGTGGGAATCCAGTGTCTTAACCACCATACCACCTGCTGGCCCTGTAGTATGTAATTAACAATATGGGGCCAGCAGATGACATGGTGGTTAAAGGCACTAGAGTTCTTCCTTGGCCAAACATGGTTTGAGTCCTGGACCTAATGTCTTGCTTTCCCTCTTTCTCTCTCTCTCTCTCTCTCTCTCTGATGAGCACAAGACCTATAGCAATTTAAAAATAATAATTATAAATAAAATTAAATAAACAATCCTTTAAAAACAAAATATTATAAAGGATGATTTCTTTAAATCAGGCAGGATACACTTTTTTTTTTTTTTTGGAGAGGTTTTTTTTTTTTCAGGTGTGCGCTCGCCAGACAAACAGAGAGAGACATAGAGACAGAAAGTGAAAAATCACCCCCTAGGGGGGATGGTCACACCACAATCCCTTCTCCTCCATTCTCCTCTCGGGATCTTGGGCACGCACGCACACACGCCCGGTGTGAGTTTTAAGCCACCGGGTCTGGGACAAACCACGGTCGACTACATGGGGTCAAGCGACATAGCCATTATGCTAACTGCTGGTCCCAAGCAGGATACATTTTTAAGTGTCTTAATTTTAATTACCTTTTCCACTTAGAGAATAAGGTCAGCATCAACAGATGGTGTAGTGGTTATATCACTGGACTCCCACATAGCTGATGGTGGTTTGGGTCCTGGCCCTGCTGGTTTGAAAATCAGATGCCAGGAAGAGAATGGAGGAGAAGGGATTGTTGCATGGCCACCCCCCTAGGGGGTGATTTCTCACTTTCCCTCTCTGTTTCTGCCTCTCCCTCTCTCTGACAAGCACATGTGCCCTATGGCAAAACCCTCTAGAAACAAATGTATAAAGAATAGGATCATAATCTAGGGCGTGATTTGATCCAGAGGCAGTATGGGCACTTCTCATTTAACAGCCTTAAGCTCCGATTTACAGTTCCTGAAGACTAGGTCATTAAGCAAACTGGTCAGTAAGTGAGGCACTTAAAGGAGGATGTCTTGTGGTGTTTTGTAGGGCCGCAGAGTATGTATTTTTCAAGAAATTCTGTATGCCACCACACAACAATAATGAAAATCTAGCCAAACAAAAACCATAATTAGATAAGCCCCAGAAAGTGTCAAGATGTACAACACAATCATATAAATCCTGCATGTTTATTTTTATTTACTCTGAATATATTATGGGTACACAATAAAGCACAAATTTATAAATGAAATATGTAGTTTTGCATGACTGTGAATGTTTCATGTAGTGAGTACTACCCAGCTGCAAAGATTACAAAGGGGATTCTCGAGACTCATACAGACTAAGACAGATTCCCTGTGCTGGATAACTGGTTTGAGTAGTCTAAGCAGTCCTTAATTTTTAATTCTGATTCAACCTACCTTAAAATAGGTAGGTTCAGGACCAGCAGTTGGCATAATGGCTATGTTGCTGGACTCCCATGTAATCGACCACAGTTCGAGTCCCGGACCCAGTGGCTTAAACTCACGCTGGGCGCGTGTGCATGCATGCCCAAGATCCTGAGAAGAGCATGGAGGAGAAGGGATTGTGGTGTGGCCGCCCCCAATGGGGAGTGATTTCTCCTTTCTGTCTCTCTCTCTCTGTCTGGCAAGCACATGCACCCTATAGCAAAAACTTCTCCAAAAAAAAGGTAGGTCGTTAAGTACGGAGAGGCTATATTTGCTTCCATTAAGTTAAAAACTCAAGTAAAATTCCTTCTAGAAGGTATTCAATAAAATCCAAAGTATAATGTTAGCCTTCACTTACATGATAAGCACACACCAGGCAGCACGCTCGCCAAATTCAAATACGGGTTTTTACTGAGCCGAATCTCTTTTGGTGGTTCTCCCAAGAGTGAAGTCTGATTCTTGGAGGCAGCCTATTTATTCCAAACAACAGAGGCCATATTTAGTAAGAGGTCCAAAAAAACAAAAGCATAGAAAGAATAGAGACATACTTTTTTTTCAATAATTCCAGTCTAGCATAAAAAAATAACTGTGAAACCCAACCTTTGATGATATAAATTTATGAAATATTCTCGGATGTTGATTGAAATCAGCACATTTACCTGCTATTATTTTTCAATCAGTCTTTCTTTTAACTATTCCAAAAACATAGAGCTTTCAGACTGAAAGATAATTAATGGCCATCTTATTCAGCCTTCTCATTTGAACCAGGAAAGAATTCACCTCACCAGAGAAAATCAATTTCGTATTTCATCAGAAATACTGTTATCAACATTTTTTTGTTGATTTTTTACATTTTAGATGGCCAAAACCAAAAAGAAAAGCAACATTGATCTATTTCTGGTACTAAAAATAATACCCACAAAACACGTAGTTTTAATACACGCTCCAACTCTACATTGAGGTGATAATACTAGGCGTTCCCATTTCTTAAAAATGTATGGTATCAGAATATTTTCGGGTTAACTAGTTGGGTACAAAGATTCTAGTATTTCTTTCTTTCTTTTTTATCTTTTTTGGAGAGGTTTTTGCTATAGGGCGCGTGCGTTCGCCAGAGAGACAGAGAGACAGAAAGAGAGAAATCACCCCCCGGGGGAATGGCCACACCACAATCCCTGCTCCTCTCGAGATCCTTGGCACGCACACACATGCGCCCGGCATGAGTTTTAAGCCACCGGGTCCAGGACTCGAACCGCGGTTGATTATGTGGGAGTTCAGCGACATAGTCATCATGATAACTACTGGTCCGAGATTCTAGTATTTCTTTCATTGAAAAAAAAGAGATGAACTCATAGCATGATCCTTCAGTATATTTCATTTTCTTCTGACAATTTTATACTTCACTCCTTGATGGTGAGGATACCATCTTAAGATAAGACACAATTCAGGGTAACACAATTAGTTATTTAGGTCAATATAATGGAAGTTAGCAGCTTAGTTCAAAAACACTCATGATAGGGAACCAGCAGTTAGCGTAATGGCTATGTCGCTGGACTCCCATGTAGTCGACCGCGGGTTGTGTCCCGGACCCGGTGGCTTAAAACTCACGCCAGGCGCGTGTGCATGCATGCCCAAGATCCCGAGAGGAGAATGGAGGAGACGGGATTGCGGCGTGACCATCCCCCCTGGGGGGTGATTTCTCGCTTTCTGTCTCTATGTCTCTCTCTGTCTGTCTGGCGAGCGCACGTGCCCTACAGTGAAAATCTCTCCAAAAAAAAAATAATAATAATAATAAAACACTCATGATAAAAACACTCCACAAATAGGAACAGAAAGAAACTACCTGAACATAATAAAGGTCATACAGGAAAAGTCAACAGCTAACATCACATTCAATGATAAAAAGATAAAACCTCTTCTACTGAACTTAGGAGCAAGGCAAGAATGCCTTTCACAACCTCTTTTCAACATAGTACTGGAAGTTCTAACCAGATCAATCAGGCAGGAAAAGAAAACAAATGCATGCAAGTTATAGAAGGAACAGTAAAATGCTTCTGAAGATGACAGGATTTCATATGTAGAAAAACCTAAAGACTATGTGCATATACACACAGAATAGTAAAGTTGCAGGACACAAAATCAACACATAATGGGGCCAGCAGGTGGCAGTGGTTAAGGTGCTGGTATTACCACATGGCCAACAGCAGTTTGCATCCCAAACCTGGGAGCTTGAAAATTATGCCAGCACTGAACACGTGCACGCATGCGTGTGTGTGTGTGTGTGTGTGTGTGTGCAAGTGTGTGCCCAAAACCCCAGGAGGCTAACAAAGGAGAAGAGACTGCGGTGTGCCCAGCCACCTTATGGGGGGAGGGGTTTCTCCCTTTCCATGTCTCTGTCTCTGTCTGGCCAGCACATACACCCTATGGCAAAAATGAAACAAAAGCAACAACAAACGCACAAAATTAAACCATGTTTCCATGCATTAACAATGAACTACCTAAAAAGAACATCGAGGAAATATTTCCAGAGCCAGTCCTCTAGTCTAGTGGCTAAGGAGTTAGAAACTAATAAGGCTGACCGGGGTTCAAATCTTAGCCATAGCCACTTGAGAAACATGCCAAGTGTGAGGGTGTGTGCTCAAAATACCACCAGGAGAAATGAAGACGGGACTGTGATATGGCCATGCCCCTGTGTGTAGGGGAGTACCGTCTGTCTGTCTATGTCACACACAAGTGCACATACCATCTAGCAAATAAAAGTAAGAAAGAGAAAAGAATTCTAGGCCTAGTCACTGTGGCTTAAAGATAACACTGGCATCCTGCTGGCAAGAAGTCATATGATCATGGTTTAGACCCCGGGTTGGCCTAAATACATGCCAGACATGTGTGCAGGTTCCCAGGATCCCAAGGACCTAGAGGGCTGTGGGAAGGGAATCATGGTGCGACAAGGCCCAATCTAGAGTTGTTTCTGTCTCTCTCTCAGATATCCTTTCTGTCATAAATAAAGGGGTGAAAAAGAAAATCCGACTTACGGAAAAGAATACAACACTTATGGGGACCAGCAGTTAGAGTAATGGCTATGTCGCTCCCATGTAGTTGACTGCAGTTCAAATCCTGGGCCCAGTGGCTTAAACTCAGGCCAGGCGCGTGTACATGACGTGCCCAAGATCCTGAGAGGAGAATGGAGAAGGGATGCAGCGTGGCCATCCCCCTGGGGAATGATTTCTCGCTTTCTGTCTCTCTGTCTCTCTTTCTGGTGAGCACACGCACCCTATAGCAAAAACCTCTCCCCAAAAAAAAGAATAAAACTCTTAGGAATGAACTAAGGAGGTGAAAGCCTTATGAACTGAACACTACAAAACAATGTTGAAGGAAATTAAACAAGACACAAATAAATGGAAAGCGAGCCTGTGTTTATGAATCAGAAGACTCAATGCTGTTAGGGTATTAATACTATCCAAACCAATCTACACATGTAATATAATTCCTATCAAAATCTGAAAAAAAATTTTTTTGTGAAAATAGAAAAAGCCATTCTAAAATTCACGTGGAATCTCAAGAGACCTAGACAGAAAAAACAATCTTGGGGCTGGAAGGTCGCACGGTGGTTGAGGGCTCTGGAATCCCACATCGCTGACCACAGTTCAGGTCCTGGAACTGGTGGCTTGCTTTCCCTTTCCCTTTATCTCTCTCTCTCGCTTTGGTCATATTAAAAATAGTAATTAATGGGACCAGCAGACAGTGTAATGGCTATGTCGCTGGACTCCCACGTAGTCCACCGCGGTTCGTGTCCCGGACCCGGTGGCTTAAAACTCACGCCGGGCACGTGTGCGTGCGTGCCCAAGATCCTGAGAGGAGAAAGGAGGAGAAGGGATTGTAGCGTGACCATCCCCCTTGGGGGTGATTTCTCACTTTCTGTCTTTCTCTCTCTGGCAAGAACATGTAGCCTAAAGCAAAAAAAAACTCTCTTAAAAAAAAATGACTGAAATGGTAAATTTCATGTTATGTACAAAGGGGTTTCAAGAGCCTATGGAAAATGCATATTGTGAAAAACATGTACCCTAAAGCAAAAAAAAACTCTCTTTAAAAAAAAATGACTGAAATGGTAAATTTCATGTTATGTACAAAGGGGTTTCAAGAGCCTATGGAAAATGCATATTGTGAAAAAATTACATGATTTCACATTTTTTTGCACCAAAATAAACTCGTACTTCAATTCCATTTTTTTGTGAACTTCTTGAAGTCCTCTTACATAGTTTACCTCAATGAACAAAACTGACAGATACCCACCACCTTAACCTCCGGCCATGTGCTGGTCCTTTATATAAAATCACACCTACATCACGAACTTTCCAGACAAGGCAGTATTTATAAAAAATAAAGAATATACATTCACTTTACAACAGCAGACTTAAAAAACTAATTTTTTACACATTAACATTATTTATAGCAAACTGGTAAATGTCAGGTAGCATAACTTATCAAGAGAAAGATTCTGCTTGTTGATAGCAGAATTTTTTTTTCCAACAAAGAACTCAATGTCTTCTTCAATTTTGAGTTGTACATGTAAGCCATGAAAGACACCATCATTGCATGAGCATAGCAATGATCTAGTTGGGAACCTCTATTTATATATTAGCATATCCCTGACTTCCTTCTAAGTTTAACGCTACTTAAGACTGCTTCGATACTTCATAAATTATGCCACCTGCCAAATAACAACTAATACCCTAGTATTCGAATACTTTTTCTGAAGATATGATGTAAAAGGAATATACACTCCTTTATATAAATAAACACAGCTATTTTGACATATGTACGCACACGCATGCACGTTATCTTCTTACCCCAGGATTTATCTCCGTGCCTTTGGGCTGGCTTTGTGACTGCTTGTGGTGTCCCGTTAGTAAGCCTCCTGCAGTAAGGTTGGAAAAGCTTTGAAGACAAGGCTGTGACCCTGAGAAACCTCCTTCAGCTATTCCCGTGGTGGCTGGCTGTTTCTCCTGAGTATGACTGTGCCCCAGCCCCACCTGCCCAGCCAGGTGCTGATTTGAAAAGAACGGCAATGTGCCCGTTCCAGCTGTTAGAGTTGAGTTGGAATCAGATTAGATGCTGTAGTGAACCACAAATGCAGAGAGCTTTTAGTAAGAGGCTTATTCACAACGGTCCTTTAGATAAGGTATGGGCAAAATGCAAAGAAGCCTATCTTGTACCTATTGAAACAGTTCAATCCAAAAGGTGAGGTTAAAGTTGGTAAATTGGGAAGTTCTTTATAAAAAAAGTAAAAACCTCCTATAGTAGTAGTGCCTTTATTTTCAACTATAGTACTTCTAGAATAATCTCAATAATTGATATTTTTAAATTTCAAGTTTTAATTGTATATGTTAGAAGTTGAAAGTTTATGTACTTTTTGCTATTTAAGCTCTTTCAGTGCTTTTTATTTTTTAATACCCAGTTGAAGTTGAAAGTTTATGTGCTTTTTCCTATTTAAGCTGTATCAGTGCTTTTTATTTTTTAATACCCAGTCTCTTCAGTTTGCCTGCTTCCACATGTAAGAGATGAATGAAATAAGTCTTAAAAACTTTTCTGACACTTAAAAAATAATTGCCTTTATGGGACCAGCAGGTGGTGTGGTGGCTAAGGTGCTGGACACTCCCACATGGCCGACCATAGTTGAGTCCTGGACCTGATGGCTGGCTCTCTCTTTTTCCCTCTTTCTCTCTTTCTCTCTCTCTCTCTCTCTCTCTCTCTCTCTCTGGTCAAATTAAAAAATAAATGAATCAATAATTAAAAAATTAAATAAAAGTATTTTTTAAAGTCATTTATTTTAGCTGGCAGGCAATGTAATGTTTAAGGTGCTGGAGTCCTACATGGCTGACCACGGTTTGCATCCTGGACCCAGCAGCTTGAAAATTCCTACATGGCTGACCACGGTTTGCGTCCTGGACCCAGCAGCTTGAAAATCACACCAGACACATGTGCATGCATGCCCAAGATCCTAGGAGGAGAATGGAGAAGGAATTGTGGCATGGCCGTCCCCCCAGAAAGTGATTTCTCACTTTTCCTCTCCCTGTCTCTAAAGGGATTTCTCACTTTTCCTCTCCCTGTCTCTCAGTTTCTCTGTCTCTCTCGCCAATAAATGCACATGCCTTATGGCAAAAACCTGGGGGGGGGGAGTAATTGACATTTGACTAGGATTGAATCTAACAGTGAACTTGGTCAGCCTATTGTATCAATTAACAAGAGTAGATTGTCCCTATTTCTTTCCAGCTCTCAAGTTCAGTGTCTTCAAACTGATAACCTGAATTCGGCTGGGCTGGAGCACTGGTGCACAGAAACCCCTAGGCATTACAAATAAAGACTGGTTTGTTTTGTTTCATTTTGTTTTGAATCTAGAGAGCTAGCTGATAGACACTAGCAGTCCACTGGCTTAAAAAAAAAAATCAATATTTGTGAATAAACAAGCATTTTAAAAAAAATCAATATTTGTGAATAAACAAGCAGTAAATTTAACAAATAAAAGTTTTATTTATAGGAACTAAGAAATTCTGAAAAAAGTAAAAGTTTTAATAGAAAAATTTAGAGCCAGTCCCATTTTTAAAAATCTTTAGGTCAAAATTAAATGAAAAGAGCTAATTTTGATAACTACTTTAAGTCAAATTTACAAATTCACTTAACAAATTTCTTAAACTATTTTTAGTAGTAAACATTTAGAGATAAATGCTTTGATTCTCTCATCTTGAAACAATAAATTTATTTGGATACTTTGAATTTTCAGTGTTCTTAAGGCAGCACTCCTAAAACAAATTTATTATTTACTCCAACACAAATAATAAATATTTGCATAACTTTCATAGTAGAAAATTTAGTTTTCTCAAAGGATAGGTCGTATAAGACCATAAAATCTTCATGAATTGAACTTCTACCTCGTCAATTTCAATGATCCGAATTTAATGAATTATTAATATGTGATCACTTAACTAGCTAGTTTTATGTACAACAGGCTAAATATGCTACCCATATTTAACTGACATTTTTATTATTGGTTGTCCTTCTGTGTTCATCGAACACGTCTAAGCAAATTTCAATTCAACTTCAACTTACAGGTGCCTTTCAAAAAAATCACATTCCCATAAGAAATCTTGATATAACACCATCTTCCTGTTTTTCTAAAAAAAGGAAAATAATCTTGCCCTTGTCCAGAAATATATAGTATACATATTATCTTCTCCTAACGCTCATTTAGGGATCACATTTTAAAAACAATACAAATAAACAACCTTTAAATTTACAAATACTAGCTATTTCATAACAGCTAAGATTTTCTTATCCAAGCAAAAGTGAAATGGAACACATGTCAAGTGCTGTCAGCCCAGTGAGCAGCATGTCAATCTCAAATGGAGCCGTGTCTTTTCTTCCTACTGCTGTGAACCCGCATAAAATATTAAAGCATTTCCAACAGGGGAAGTCTTATCTTGGCATGGAAGCAAGCCCATCAATAACTTATCAATATGAAAAATAGGAGAGCCAAGAGGGTTCTTGAAATTCTAAATGACTGAATGATGCTCAAATTTGACCTTCCTGTTAATACAAGTAGAATATAGGGAAAACATCTTTAAATCTTAAAACTGCTGACTAACTCCCCTGTAAACACATGATTTACTTTTATGTGCTTCCCCACGAGGTCCCAACTCCGCTTTCAATGGAAGGGCTGACCCTCTTCCTAGGGCACTTTGAAGTACCACAGCTGGGGGTTCTCCAAGTAAGCCAGGTTTCTACAAAAGAAGAAAAAACGTGGGACTTTTGCCTGTGGCAGCAAGACAAAGGATTTAAAAGGCTACATATGTAAAAATTCATAAATAATCTGATCAACAGATTCTAAAAAATGGACTATTTCCAAAGAGAAAAGGATGCCACGCTTACGTTATTAGTGTGAATCTTCTCAAACTTCCTTAACTGTTGCTGTGCCAGAGGGACGTGAGAAAGGTTCTGAAGGAATAAATTAGAAGTACCACCCATCACTGAGCTCTGTGAAAATATAAAATACTGAGTTAGTTTTGTTGAACAGTAGTGGTATAACTTATCTTGAAGTTTAGTTTTCCAGTTCATTTAAGTAATGTATCCCATTCTTCAACTTCTGGCAATGCTGATTAATTCTTTTAATAATATACAAGAGGTAACCTACAGTCAGGAGACTAATGCCACATCCTTTCCTTCTTTTACCCTTCCTCCCCTCTCCTCACTCCTGGCTGGATTTAATGATAGTGATTCATTCATTTCTTCATGTAATCACTCAACAAAGATTTATTGAGCACTTTCTCTGTGCCGAGCACTGTGCTACACAGTGAGAAATAAAAGAATATGATCTGGGGCCAATGGGTGGTGTGATGGTTGAGGTGCTCAACTCCCACATGGGCGATTGCGGTTTGAATCCTGGACCTGGTGACTTACTTTCTCACTTTCTCTGTCTCTCTCTCTGTTGAGTACATGTGCCCTGTAGCAAATTACAAATAACTATGATATGTATACATATATACACATATTATTAAAATGGTATTTGTATGAAGAAATAAATAAAGGAGCTAAGAGAACAAATAATGGGGATTTAGATTGGAACATTCCATGGAGTTTTTCTTGAGAAGCTAATAGAATTCCTGGGCCAAGTCTAAAGGCTGGGTGGAAATAATGAGGTGAAGTCTGGCAGAATTTATTGATGTTAGGGTGGGCAGCATTCAGGCATAAGGATCAATGGAAACAAAGACCTTCGACAGAGAGAACAGGGTCTTCTGAGGACCAAAAGCAGGCCACCGTAGGGTACTGCCGTATGCAATGAGCATGAGAGGCAGGAGAGGCCAGCCTGGATAGGCTCTAAAGGCAAAATTAAGCCTGTTGTTCTTTCTCCTAAAAGAAAGGGAATCCTATTTTTTATTCTTAGGAGATTTTTGCTATAGTGTGCAAATGCTCAACAGAAAGCAAGCAAGAAATCACCCCCCAGGAGAAACAGCCATGACGCCATCACTTCTCTGTTCTCCTCTTGGGATTTTGGGTACACACGCACACGTACCCAGCCTAAGTTTTAGGCTGCCAGGTTCAGGACTCAAACCAGTGGACTTCGTGAGAGTCCTAGCAATGTAACCATTATGCCATCTGATGGTCCTAGAAATGGAATACTATTAATACCATGAATTCCCTCTCTCAAGTCACTCTTCCCATCTTACTGTAATTAATTGTTTAATATTTCTTCCCCACTGGTTGAAATTCTGTAACAACAGAGACTCTGAATGTTTTGTTCAATGCTATACCCTTAATGATTAATAGTGTCCAGTATATACATACTAGGTGGTTTTTTTTTTTTTTGAGAGGTTTTTGCTATAGGGTGTGTGCGCTCACCAGAAAGAGACAGAGAGACAGAAAGTGAGAAATCACTCCCCAGGGGGGATGGTCATGCCACAATCCCTTCTCCTCCATTCTCTTCTCAGGATCTTGGGCACGCACGCACGCACATGCGCCCAGCGTGAGTTTAAGCCACTGGGTCTGGGACTCGAACCACAGTCGACTACATGGGAGGTCAGCAACATAGCCATTACACTAAATGCTACTAGGTTTTCAAAAAAAAAAAATGCTGAGTGAATAAATGAGTAAAGATTCTATCATATACCAGGCCCTATGTTAGATTCTAAGGAAGAAAATTAAGAATGCTGAGTAAATAAATTAGTAAAGATTCTATCATATACCAAGCCCTATGTTAGATTCTAAGGAAGAAAATTAAGAGATAGGCCTCTCTCTTAAAAATCTGCATTTAAGGGACCAGCAGATTGTGTAATAGTTACGCCACTGGACGCCCACTGGACTAGTCCACTGCAATTTAAGTACCAGACCCAGTGGCTTAAAACTCACGCCAGGTGCATGTGCATGTGTTCATTTCCAAAATTCCAAGAAGAGAATGGAGGAGAAGAGACTCCAGCATGGCCACATACCCTAGGGGGTGATTTCTTGCTTTTTGTCTGTCTCTTTGTCTCTTGGTGACCAGACACACCCCAGGGGGGATGGCCATTGCACAATCCCTTCTCCTCCATTCTCCTCTTGGGATTTTGGGTACACACACAAGCTTGGTGTGAATTTTAAGCAGGTGGGTCCCGGACTTGAACCATAGTCGACTACGTGGGAGTCCAGCAACATAAGCATTACGCCATCTGCTAATCCCAAGAAAAAATGCTTTTTTACTCTCACAAACATATAAATTTTTTTAATACTTATTTATCAATTTATTTGTTGTGATTTTCAGGCGACTGCACTGCAGTCAGTAATGTGGGAATCTAGTGCCTCAACCACCATGTCACCTGCCAACTTAAGGGGAATGGCCACACCACAATCCTTTCTCCTCCATTTTTCCCTCCTCAGGATTTCAGGCATGCATGCATGCACACACACCAGTGTGTTTTTTCAAGCCACCAGGTCTGGGACTCAAACTGTACAGTTGGCCATGTGGGGTCCAGCAACTTTAACCACCAGTTGGCCCCCTTTCTTTCCAAATGCCCTACAAATAAGAGTCAACAATAACTATGCTACTTTGATTAGCTCAATTAAATCTAATATACTCATCAAATTATGACTTTATGAAACTTTACTTATTATTAAGAAATTTCTTTACAACCAGAACACTCAATTAACTTCTTCAGAACTTTGTGAATTAGTGTGCAGAGCAGAATATTCATTCCAAATATTTGATGCTGCAGTGCTATTCATGTACCTGATGAGCTTTATTCAAATGTAAAAGTGCAGGGGAAATGGACGGATTCATCAGATGTGGCAAGTTGTGAGGTGTTCCAAGAACTGCTTTGAAAAAATAAAAATAAAATTTAACTTTATGATATACATGGAATTAGAAATAAAACAAGCTCCAAAAAGATAAATAAATATTTCTAAGAACTTAACAAATTCTCTGGAAGTTCAAAGATACACTGACCTATCGTAGGTCAAAACTGACAGGCTTTGTTTTCTATGCCCTAATAAAATTCCAACAACTTATGCCATAATTGCACAACACCAAACCTAGGCTTACTTTTCTCTAGCATGTGCTGTGACAAAATTAATTCCATCGTTTAATAAGTACAGCATTAACTGAACCTGTTACTTGCTCAATGTGTTTTTAGGAGTTTGGGGGATTTTGGCAGAGGGCAGGGGATAGGGAGCAGGATATAATTCCTGTCTTAGAAAAGCTTATGTGAAATCCAATTGAAAAGATCATTTAGGTACACAAGAATCTTTACATAATAAACACAAAAGAAACAACAAAACTGTACACAGAGATAAAAGGAATAAATGGCAATCATACTCTTTTTCTTAATGTACTAGAGGGTATGTGTGCTCATCAGAGAGAGACAGAAGTAGAGAGAGAGGGGAGGGGGAAAGCACCCTTTCATGGGGCATGGTCATGCCACAATCCCTTCTCCATTTCTCCATCATGTTGGGATTTGGGGAAATTCATGCATGCATGCGCACACACACCCCCAGCATTGTTTCTCAAGCCACCAAATACACAGTGGCCATGTGGGATCTGGCTCCCTTAAACCCTAAGCAATGGGGCTGGTACAGTAACCGTATCTTCAATCAAATCTCAGAACCCAAATGTCAGTGGGTTCTACACTTCAGGACATATATGTTCAAAGAAAGTAATACGGAGATACAAAAAAGAATGACAAGATAGAAGATAGATGAAGTGATTTTAACTAATTATTATAATGTAGCTGGGAATAATCATAATATACAAAATTATATATAAACATAATATCCAGTATCCAGAAGAGACCATGGTAATATATTTTGTAATGTAGATATAACAAAATTCAACACAAGGAGTTGTTACAGGCTAGTGAAAAACATCTTTATTGCATTCAAACTTCTTAGGATCTATCTAAGTCTGTACTGGGATCAACTCAGAAGGCAAGAATGAGAGAATACCTTGGTTTCAGGTACAGAATTGTATCAGTTAATCATTCCACATAGAACTATGTAACTGAACAGTTTTCAGTACTCTCTCTGGCAAAAGAGGAAAAACTCAACATATGGGAATTGAGGGAATATGTAATTATAGCATAAACTTAAAGGCGTTACGACAATGTGAAAATACACAGAAGATCCTCTTAACATTCTATTACCTACTTCAATGTGGAAAAAAGGCATTTCTGGGCAGAAAAATTATACACAGAAAAACCTCATTGTAAGCCATATGTTAGGGAATTAAGTATACGAAATTAGAAAAAATATTACTTGGCTAACAAAAATGATTTGGGTCGAAGAAAGTTTGTGTTATTGTTTTTGTTTTTTAATTCTGGGACTAGGTGCAAAGAACGGTTTAAGACACATCCCCTCCTCCTCCTAATTAAATTAATGGCCAATGGGGCAAAAATATCTAAATTATAAAGCCCTAGGATATGTCATTTATGGAAGATAAGTGAAAATTTTCTAACTCAAAAAAATAATTATGGGGAGACCAGCAGGTGGTAGGGTGGTTAAGGTGCTGGATTCCCACATGGCCTACCATGGTTCAAGTTCCAAACCTACCAGCTTGTTTTCTCACTTTCTCTCTCTGTCTGGTCAAATTGAACAACAATAATAAATTAAAAAATAAATCTTTCAAAAATAATTATTATTATGAGTACCACAGAAAATAAATGCCAAAACATTTTTAAAATCTCTGTCACTTCGAAGTCATAAATTATGGATTGTTACTTCAAAGTCACAAATCTCTGATGAGTACAAACTCACTTGACAATTTACAGGGTGTTTTATTAACTATACATACATATATATATATATATATATATATATATACACACACACACACACACACACATACATATATACTAATATTATGCTAATATTAACATTTAAAAACCAGTGACTACATTAACATAAAAAAATTCCACAACAAAGACTATTATCAAGAATACAGGGAAGCCGGCGCGGGGCGCGCCCGGCGGAAGCCGGCGCGGGGCGCGGGAGAGCCCATGCCCCCGGAGCGGGATGGGGCTTGGGAAAAATTTTCGG